GTTTTTCCATTTCTTTGTGTCTTCCTCAATTTCTTTCATAAGTGTTCTGTAGTTTTTAGAGTATAGATCCTTTACCTCTTTGGTTGGGTTTAATCCTAAGTATTTTATGGTTTTGGGTACAACTGTAAATGGGATCAACTCCTTAATTTCTCTTGTTTCTATCTCATTGTTAGTGTACGGAAATGAAACTGGTCTTGATTTTATATCTTGCCATGTTGCTGAATTCCTATATGAGTTTCTAGCAATTTTGGGGTGGAGTCTCTTGGGTTTTCCACATAAACTATCATGTCATCTGCAAAGAGTGAGAGTTTGACTACTTCTTTGCCAATTTGAATGCCTTTTATTTCTTTTTGTTTTCTGATTGCTGAGGCCAGGACTTCTAGTACTAAGTTGAACAACAGTGGTGAGAGTCGGCATCCCTGTCATGTTCCTAACCTTCGGGGAAAAGCTCTGTATTTCCCCACTGGGAATGATATTCGCTGCGGGCTTTTTGTAGATGGTTTTTATGATATTGAGGTTGTTCCCTCCATCCCTACACTGTGGAGAGTTTTAATCAAGAAAGGATGCTGTATTTTGTCAAATCCTTTTTCTGCATCAATTGAGAGGATCATATGGTTCTTGTCCTTTCTTTTATTAATGCAATGTGTCATGTTGATTCATTTGCGAATGGTAACCACGCTTGCAGCCCATTTTCTTACACCATCCACAAAGAACAACTCAAAACAGACAGAAGACCTAAATGTGAGATAGGAATCCATCAGAATTCTAGAGGAGAACATAGGCTGCAACCTCTCTGACCTTGCCACAGCAACTTCTTGCTAGACATATCTCCAAAGGCAAGGGAAACAAAGGCAAAATGAACTACTGGGACTTCATCAAGATAAAAAGCTTTTGCACAGCAAAGGAAACAGTCAACAAAACCAAAAGACAACTGACAGAATGGGAGAAGATATTTGCAAATGACATACCAGATAAAGGGCTAGTATCCAAGATCTATAAAGAACTCATCAAACTCAACACCCAAAAAATAAATAACCCAGTCAAGGAACAGGCAGAAGACAGGAACAGACATTTCTCCAAGAAGACATACAAATGGCCAAAGACCTATGAAAAAATGCTCCACATCACTTGGCACCAAGGAAATACAAATAAAAAACCACAATTAGATACCACCTCACACCAGTCAGAATGGCTAAAATTAACAAGACAGGAAACAACAAATGTTAGTGAGGATATAGAGAAAGGGGAACCCTCTTACACTGCTGGTGGGAACGCAAGCTGGTACAGTATGGAAAACAGTATGGAGGTTCTGGAAAACAGTATGGAGGTTCTGGAAAACAGTATGGAGTTTTCTTAAGAAGTTAAAAATAGAGCTACGCTATGACCCAGCAATTGTACTACTGGGGATGTCCCCAGGAGATACAAATGTAGTACATATATAGTGTATATACATACAAGTGTACTTACAGATGTAGTGTAGAGATGATCCAAAGGGGCATCTGAACCTCAGTGTTCATAGTAGCAATGTCCACAATAGCCAAACTGTGGAATGAGCCAAGATGTCCATCAACAGATAAATGGTATGTACACACAATGGAATATTGCTCAGCCATCAGAAAGGATGACTACTTACCATTTATACTGATGTGGGTAGAAGTGGAGGGTATTATGCTGAGCAAAAGAAGTCAATCAGAGAAAGACAATTATCATATGGTTTCACTCTTATGTGAATATAAGAAACAGGGCAGAAGATTTTAGAGGAAGGGAGAGAAAATTGTATGGGAAGTCATCAGAGAAGAAGAAAAACTGTGACAGACTCTAACTATACTGGAGGGGAAGTGGTAGGGATGAGGTAATTGGGTGATGGCCATTAATGAGGGCATGAGATGTGATGAGCACTGGGTGTTTTATGAAACTAATAAATTACTGAACACTACATCTAAAAAAATGATGTACTATAAGTTGGCTAATTGAATTTAAATAAAAGATAAAAGAATGCATGTCATGGCCCACCATCTTAAGACTTAATTTTTTAAATTTGGTTTAAATACAAATTCCTATACTAAAAACCAAACCAAACCAACAAACAAATCCAAAAAACACCTCTAACTGGCCCAGCTTGAATAAGGTACCTATCCCAGATCCAAACAAATTGTGGAGAGGGTCATCTTACTAAAAATGGTAGCTAGAAGCTTTGCCTTGACCCTGAGAGAGAACCATGACATTATAAATTGAACAAATAAATTTACTCCATCATCCTCATTTACTCTCACAGTTATCCTGGCTGAAAACCTCAGTCATCTTCGGCTTATCCTTCTCTCTTATTTACTATATAGTTCTGTCACCAAGAACAATTTCATTCTTCTTTCAAAATTACTCTTTTATCTATTTCTTCTTTTTTCCCATTGCCTTTATTATTTACCAAAATGACTCATCCCAAAAAAGTTACTTCACTATAGTAAATTTGCATTTCTTTAACTACTGGTGAAAATAAACATTTTTCATTTTTCCTTCATGACACAGGCTTTAGTACTCCTGCTCTCTTGGTTTGTGTTATATGAATTATATGTCTTCCCTTCTCATTCAAATGTTGAAGTACTAACCCCCCCCACCATGTGACTGTATTTAGAGATAAACCCTTAAAGAAGAAATTAATAAATTAAAAACCTTAATTTATTAATTAATAATTGAGCATGGAGCTCAAATCACTATGACTAGTGCTGTTGCAAGAAGAGGAAAAAACCCCAGGGATGCTTGCCAATGTAAGAAAGGCCATGGAAAGACACATGAGAAGGTTGTCTACAAATTAAGAAGAGAGGCCTCAGGAGACACTAAAACTGTGGACATCTTGATCTTGGACTGTTAGTCTCCAAAAATGTGAGAAAATAAATTTCTGTTAAGCCTCCTAGTTTGTGGTATGTTTTTACAATAGGCTTAGCTGACTAATTCAGTTTGCCTATGCTTATTATCCATTTTTCTTTTATTTTCTTCTGGTTAGAGCTCTCTAAACATTAAGGTTATCAGCCTTTTATCCAAAATAAATGTTACAACTATTTTTCCCGACTTATTTTGGCCCCTCACACCTATTTTGTTTTGTTTTATATACTGAAGTTTTTTTTGGTGTAGTAAAAATTTTCAAACCTTTAATTGCTGCTACATTTGAAATTGATCTTAGAAAGTTCTTCTGTTTTTCCAGTCCACACAGAATTAGATAGATATAGATTATAGATAGATGGATGATAGAGAGATGTTAAATAGATATGATGGATGGATGGATAGATCATAGATAAGTGATAGATGAAAGAAAGAAAGAAAGAAAGAAAGAAAGAAAGAAAGAAAGAAAGAAAGAAAGGCTGGATGGACAGATAATAGATGATAGCTGATAGGTAGATAGGATGGATAACAGATAATAGATTGATAGCTAATAGGTAGGTAGGTAGATAAGATATATATGGTGATGGATGGATGGATGGATGGATGGATAAAAGATGAGAGCTAGATTGTAGGTAGGTATTTTTAAAAAAAGAAAGTTCTTCCATTTCCCAGTGTATTTATGTTCACCTTTATCTTCTTCCAGTTCTTTTTTATCTCATCTGAATTCTACTTTCAATGTAGGATGTAAGATACAGATCAATTCTTTTTTTCAGATAGCGAATCAATTACCCCTGTACCATTTACTCATTTCCCCATTTACTTTAAATGTTTTTACCATATCCTAAATAGCTATATGAACTTAAAACCCCTGTTGCTTTGTACAGGCAATGTAATGACATTCATTCATTCAATAAATTCATTTTGGAGATGATATTTTTCCACATTTATCATTAGGGAAAAAGAATTTTCCACCAAATGCAAGAAACACTATTTTGGGGGTCTCAAATTATAAAAAACTTATGGAGGAAAGTTTTTAAATTAAAATAATCACAATCAGTTTTAGCTAACAATAAACATCAAAATAGGTACAAAATTACTTCAACCCAGACATGAACCAAATGAAAGTGTGAAGGAGGTACCATCTAACTTAGTTGAATTTTTTTATCTTACTAATCAAAAATAAGAGAAAAATGATAAACTTCATGAGGATTGTGGGTTGGCTTTTTCAGTCTCCTTTCAAGGGAATACTTGTCTTTCTTTTTAAATTATTTATTTTTAAAAGGATTTCTATTTTTTTCCCCCCCTCATGGGACCGAAGGGTACTATCTATGTAAAAATATATTTTACATACTTAGTGGTAAGAAGAAATCCCCCCAGTGGGGATCAATTGAATTTTGTAGTGTTCTCTCAAGAAAGGGATACAGACAGGAGCCTAGTAGTACTGCACCAACAATGTTCATGTTGAATGAGCTTTGATACCTGTTGAGTCTCTCCTGTCCACATTCAAAGCCTGAACCATTCTAGAAATTTTAGAGAAAATTCAAGAGCCGAAAATGATGTCAGATCTATTACTACTACCGTCTATCCATTATTTTTTCTTTGCTTCCCATATGGCAAGCACTTAAAACCATACGGCAAGTGTGAAATATATTATCCATATGACTGTAAAGGCAATGAAACTGAAACTCTAGAAATTATAAACCCCCAAGATCAAACTGGCAGAGAGCAGTTCATTCCAACAGAAATCTCTCGGGTACCACGGCGCTGTGGGGCCTCAAAGAGCTCTATCCAAGAGGTACAGTAAAGTCAGATTAGGCAAGGCTGGGGACAATCGCAGAGCGGCCTCGCATTAATACAAACGCAGTCCGGCTTTGCCCCGCCTGGCCTCCCTGGAGCTTCCCTGGACGTAAGCTAGTCAGAGGGTCAGACGCGGGCGGTGGGCGTGGAAAGGCGGAGCTCTCATAAGGAAAACTCACTACGATCTTTGAAAACCATAGGTAAACACGCTTAAAACTATAATGACGTGCCCAGCCAACACCATGTAGAGGAGGTACCGCAAAATCCTACTCACAGCTCGCATTCTCAAAAAACTCGGGCTCCCAAGCCCATCCCGGAATCCTTTGCGCCGCGCTCAAGAAAGCCCTGGAACACTTTGGCTCCTTCGGCCGCCGTAGGCTCTGCGTTGCTATGGAAACATAGCTACCTTCACTATGTCGTTGCAACAGGCCCCTCAGTCGCGGGTGTTCGTGGAACTGGTTCCCTGGGCTGACCGGGGCCGGGAGAACAATGTGGTCTCGGGCAGTGACTTGCTGCCCGGCCTCCGCCGCCCACTCTCTTCAGCACAGACTCAAACTGCGACTCGTGAGGTGCACGTAAGCGGCACCGCGGAGCTTTCCGCGAGCCCAGACCGGGCGCAGGTGGCGGTGTTAGTGAGCAGCACCAAGGAGACGGCGGCTGAGGCCAAGAAGAGCGTTTGCCGTCGCCTGGACTACATCACGCAGAGCCTCCAGCAGCAGGGCCAGCAGGTGAGAGCTTCGCAGGGGAGGCCACGGGACGGACCGCAAACACCGGAGGCGGAGGTTCGGCCCGGCGGCCCCTGGAGCCAGGAGGAGGTGGGGAGGGTCTTCAGTGCCTGGGGCGTGTTGGTCTCATTGGTATTACAGAGCGCCGGAACCTGGCGGAGTGACACTTTGGCCAACAAAATAGTTTTTCGCCCCATTGACTTTTAAAGTGCAAGAAGGCAAATCGAGTAGGTTTTTATTTGGCGATATTTGCCGCAGTGATTTTGTTTTTAACCTTGATATGAGGAACTGTTAGACTTGACACATTAGATGTAAATCGTTCTTTGTTTTGATTCTGCACTATGCAATTACCAAGTGCGAGAAAACTCGGCCTGCTCTCTCCTAACCTAGTTAAGCTTCGCGTGGAGTGGTTCTTCAGTATTTTTCGCAAACAGTAACGTGGGTAGGAAGTTGCATCCATTATCCTTTTATAAAGACAAAAAAAAAATTCTGCAGTTATTTTAGTTTTAACTTTCAAGACAGTTAAGCCAGTATATTGTAGATGCCACATGAATGAAATACCTCTACTTACCAGAGATGTCCACGAACCAAACACTAAATAAATCTTAACTCTACTTCTAAGAAGAAAAAAATGAACCAGCTTTATGTAATCTGAACGACAGCTCTGTAAGGTTTTAATACCCCTATTTCGATTTAAAGAGGTCAAATAATGCTCTCAATTTCAGCCAGGGCGGTATTTGAACTTTTGTCTTCTTGAAACTAAAATCTATATTTGTTCTAACCATAGCTGGCGCCAGATAATTAGAATACAAGAAAATTAGAAACCACAGAATGGGTCAACTCATTTCCTTCATTCCACACAGTAGGACTCGAAACGCCAGAGTTGTGATTTATCCAGGATAACACCAAGTTCATAAAAGTGCTTCTTGTCTATTGTTAAGACATGACACAGGCCTAAAAGCAAGTCTTTATTTTAAGGAAAAATATATTTGTACTGCATTTACAAACATAGAATTATTTAAAAAGTCATTCGGAAAAGATGTCTTAATGACAGTTTGAAAGAATTCAGGGGTGCCTGGGTGGCTCAGTCGTTAAGTGTCTGCTTTCGCCTCAGGTCATGATCCCAGCGTCCTGGGATCCAGCCCAGCATCAGGCTCCCACCTCAATGGGAAGCCTTCTTCTCTCCTCCCACTCCACCTGCTTGCATTCCTTCTCTCACCGTATCTCTCACTGTCAAATAAATAAATAAAATCTTTTAAAAATAGATAAAAGAATTCAAATGCTAATTATAAATAACTTGAATTAAATGGTTTAATATGTAGAAAATTTTCATCAAAAAACTGTTGCTAGTGCTGCAGTCCTGTTTGCATATGACTAATTCCTAATTTATTTACATAAAATGTATACCAAGTTCACATGGCTTTAATTTCTAATATGTAAAGCAATAAATTACTACATCTGACTTAATAATTGTATTTGGGTTCAGTGTTCAAGACATAGAAGGTCAGTAATCTCCCAATTATCTCTGCTAATGAAGTATGCAGTAATGGAGATCATTTGTTCAGTAGATAATGCAAAAAATCAATTATGCTACTTTTCAGAATGAATTATAATGGGTTTTCACAAAGTCTTTATTCATCTTAGACTTTGGAGTTTTGGATTTTTAAACATCACTCCCCTACTTAAAGGTCTCCTCATATTCCACATTCCTTTGCTTAATAGATGGACCCTAATTCTCTCATTTTCTGTCATCTCTCTCCCCTCCTTGACTAGCTGACTCCCATTTTTTCCTTTAAGAACCAGCCAAGCTCACCTCCTTGGCATTCCTTTTCTAGCATAACACTAGTCTCTACCATACCATGTTCCATTCCTCACTTGTAATAAAACTTACCGTTCTATATCTTAACTTGCTTTACTGGTGTCTCCTTCATATTCTAAACTTCTCCAGAGCTTGGACCATTTTCTATCACTTGCTTTGCATTCATGGGTTATGCTTTATACACATCACATAATATATACTCAAAAAGTGGTTTTTGAATGACTAAAAGAAAAAAAAATGAGGCCCTAAATAAGCTATTTAACTCTATTATAGATAATTTTATGATCATCTGTAGTTTCACATGTGAAGGCATACCCTCGTTTGTATTGTTGTTTTCATGGAAAAATGTATTAAAGTTCCAAGCAGTATTTACTTATTCAACCATCAAACATTTTTTAAGCATTTCCTATCACTGCTCATTTTAAAATAGCACTTAATATGATCTGTAATTATTTTGATTTCTGGTTTGTATGTTCCCTCCATAGGCTCATAATTTTTTTTTTCAATAAATATGTAATAGATTCATGTTGCTGGGCACCAAAAGTAGAGAATGAGTAAAAGTCACTGTGATGGAGTCTTATGATAGGAATAGACTAATATATAATAAGTGCTGTGAAGAAAATACGTAACTGAGACAATTCAGTAGAGTAAGAGAGGTAATAATGTTCATTTTACTTGAAGGATTCCAGTGACTCTCGTGTCAGATCTTGAACAATGAAAGGAAAGCATTCCAGTTCCACACTAGAATGCAGCAAGTATGTGTGTTCTGAGCTCTATATGCAGTGCATCATGGCTAGGACACAGGACTACCTGGGGAAAATGGAGGAGAATTGGGATAAGACTGAAGAAGAAAGCTGTAGACAGAACATGGATGAAGGTGTTGTTTGCTATATTGAGGAGTTTGGATATTATTGGGATTAAAAAAAAAACACACATGTTTAATTGCTAGACCTTTTGCAAATATTATCTCATTTCATACTCATTCCCACCACATGAGACTGGCATTTCAGTCGCTGTTTATAGATGAGAACTCTCAAGATCAGAGTGATTATTGGCAGGTAGCTTGCCCAAGGTCATACAGGTAGGAAGTGGCAGAGTTTAGACTCCAGTCAAGAATTTTGACCTCAAACTCTTGCTCTTAACCAGTATGTTGCTGCTTTATTGTCTTGGCAGTGGGTGACTGAGTTTTAAGTAGGGTTTGTAGCAGATGCTATTGATACCCCACACTTGTATCCCTTGGCACTTCACATTTGTCTGCATACAGGCCCAACTTCCATCTGCCAACACTTGTGAATTCCTTTCCAGTTTTTCTGGATGCAGTTTTTCCTGGCTCTACCTACAAGTGGGCCAGCCAGTAGTGCTAAAAAATTAACAAGCCCTCTCAAGCTCTAGAAGCCTTCAACTAACAACTGAGAGAAGTGAGTGGAAAGAGACCTTACCCCTTGGGCAGGATAACTGAAGCATGTGTTCTGCCCCGGTTCTCAGAGTTTCTCTGCAGGAATAAGTTCCAGTTGCCCACAGTGGTGACTGCTTGACAATACATATTTTAATGGCTTGCTTTCCTTTTGTTTCACCTCTCATTCCCCTGTAGTGTTTCTTGGGATCATCTTAAAAATTAACTGCCTGTATTCACATCCTTGTCTCAGAGTCCGTTTCTGGGGGCATTCAGATTAAGATAGGGAGTAGTAGGAATAGATTGAACATATCATATGAGTTGGCTTCAGTCTTTAATTATTAAAAATGGTGACAAAATGATTTTCCTTGTTGCTAGGTATTTATACATGTTTTTAAATATGTTTTTTGGACATGAATTCCTGGCTTACACATACTTTTAAAAATTAAATTAAAAATTAATTTAAATTAATTTAATTTAAATTAAATTAAATCTAAATCTAAAATCTAAAAATTAAAAAATTACAGTCTAGGAGAAAAGTTTACATCTTCACTACAAATATATTCTTGGCATAGTCGGTATTATTTTCTTTTTTAATTTTGCCAATTCAGTAGTCAAAAAAAGTTACTGTCATTTCCTGTTTTATTTTTTTACATTTGAGATTAAGCTTTTTTCATGTAAATTGCCAATTCATAATACTTTGTCCATTTTTTCTATTGTCTTTATTAATTTATGGGAACTTCTAAAAAATTAGTTTCAACTGTACAGTATAATGATTCAACAATTCTGTACATTTCTCAATGTTCATCAAGATAATTATACTCCTAATCCCCTTTAACAATCGATATCCTACTTCCCACTTCCCTCTGGCAACCATCGGTTTGTTCTCTGCAGTTAAGAATCTTTTCTGGTCTCTTTTTGTTTGTTCATTTGCTTTTTTTTTAAGTTCTACATATGAGTATAATCATATGGTATTTGTCTTCTGGCTGACTTATTACTTAGCAGTATATACTCTAGATACATCCATATTGTTGCAAATGGCAAGATTTCATTCCTTTTTTATGACTAATAGTCCAGTGTGTGTGTGTGTCTGAATGTCTGTCTCACTTTTTTTTTCTAAGATTTTATTTATTTATTTGACAGAGAGAGAGACCCTGTGAGACAGGGAACACAGCAGAGGGAGTGGGAGAGAGAGAAGCAGGCTCCCCACAGAGCAGGGGATCCCAGGATCCTGGGATCATAACTTGAGCCGAAGGCAGATGCTTAACAACTGAGCCACCCAGGAGCCCCAGTCTCACATCCTCTATATCCATTCACCTATAGATGAACACATAGGTTGCTTCCATATCTTGGCTATTATAAATAATGCTACAGTAAACATAAGGATGCAGACATCTTTTTGAATTAGTGTTTTTGTCTTTGGGTAAATACCTAGTAGTGGAATTACACTGATCGTATGTTAATTCTAACTTTTTGAGGAACCACCATACTGTTTGTGGCTGCACCAGTTTGTAGTCTCAACAATCATGTACAAGGGTTCGTTTTTCTCCACGTCCTCACTAACATTTGTTATTTCTTGTGTTTTCTATTTTAGCCATTCTGACAGATATGAGGTGATATCTCATTGTGGTTTTAATTTGCACTTCCCTGAGATGAGTGATGAGCATCTTTTCATGTGTCTGTTGGCCATCTTATACCTTCTTTGGAAGAATGTCTTTTCAGGTCCTCTGCCCATTTTTTAATTGAATTACTTGTTTTTGTGGTGCTAAGTTGTATAAATTCTTTATCTGTTTTTTATATTAACCCCTTATGGGATATATCATTTGCAAATTATCTTTTCCCACTCAGTAGATTGCCTTTTTGTTTTGTTGATGATTTCCTTCCCTGTGCAAAAGCTTTTGATTTTCTTGTAGTATCAATAGTTTAATTTTGCTTTTGTTTTCCTTGCCAGAAGAGACAGACCTAGAAAAATGTTTCTATGGTTATGTCAAATAAGTTATTGCCTGGATTTTCTTCTAGGAATTTTATGGTTTTAAGTCTTACATTTAGGTCTTTAATCCATTTTGAGTTTACTTTTATGTATGGTATGAGAAACTGGTACAGTTTCATTCTTTGCATGTAGCTGTCCAGGTTTCCCAGCACCATCTGTTGAAGAGATTGCCTTTTTCCCACTGCATATTCTTGTATCCTTTGTCATAGATTAGTTAATTGTCATAGGCCATATAAATGTGGGATTATTACTGAGCTCTCTCTTCCATTCCATTCATCTGTGTGTCTATTTTTGTGCCAGTATTTACTATTCTGATTACTGCTGCTTTGTAGTATATCTTGATATCTGGGGTTGTGATACCTCTAACTTTGTTCTTCTTTTTCAAGATTAAGAGAACGTTAAAATTAAGATTATCAGTAATTCTTTCATGTATTGCAAAAATTTTCCCAATTTTATTTTTGCCATATAACTTTTTACAGTATTGAACATTCAAAATTTTTAAGTTTTATTTTGTCAAATTCATTAATCTTTTCTGTAGGTCTCTTGCCTTTGGTGTAACACTTATTGGGTCCTTCCAAAGCTTAAGGTTATATAACCATTAACTAATATTTCCTGGAACCTTTAGGGACCCTTTATACTACACTAAATATTTGCTATGTTAGAATTTATTTTGGTATGAGGAAAAAGGTTTTATTTTCTCCTAAATGGTTAAGTTGCTGTACTGAAATCATGTACTGAGGTCTTTTTTTTTAAATTAATTAATTTATTTGACAGAGAGATCACAAGTAGGCAGAGAGGCAGGCAGAGAGAGAGGGGAAGCAGGCTCCCCGCAGAGCAGAGAGCCCTATGTGGGGTTCAATCCCTGGACCCTGGGATCGTGACCTGAGCGGAAGGCAGAGGTTTTAACCCGCTGAGCCACCCAGGTGTCCCTGTACTGACTGACGCCTTATCCCTTACTGCTTGTGCAAGAACCTAACTCAAATTGCCTTAAAAATAAAAAGTGTTAAAAATTTTTTAAATTAATAAAAACTTAAAAGTATTGCTTTACATAACCTTAAATCAGTAATATGCCCTTTAGATATATAGTGGTTAAGGCTCTATTTTGATGCAGCTCTCCTGGCTTTCCTGCAGCTTCCTGCATGATACCAAAACAGCTGCAACATTTCCAAGCCTTACACCACATACTGTACCATAACAAGAAAGACAATAGTTCTTATTTCCCACAACCACATAAAAACAAATATTCCAGAGTGCCTGGGTAGCTCAGTCAGTTAAGCGTCTACCTTTGGCTCAGGTCATGATCCTGAGTTCCTGGGTGGAGCCTCCACCTACTTTGGGCTCCTTGCTCAGCAAGAAGTCTGCTTCTCCCTCTCCTGCCTCTCCCCCTGCTTCCATGTGTGCTCTCTCTCAATGAATATATATATATACATATATACATATATGTATATATATGTGCATATACATATATATGCACATACTCCTGTAGTTCACTGTAAATTGACAACCTAAATCTGTCCTTGTGGCCAGAGAAATGGCATATACTAAGTAGCTTCAATTGGATTTCTGCCCATTTTTAACCATAATCTTGTAGCAAGTTAGCTGTGATAATCCTGAATGGTTTAGACCTATGATGATTTACCTTGAACCACATTGTTGCTACGTAGAGAAAGTAGGGGCAGAATGTATGACATAAGGATTCCATATTGCTTCTTGTGCCTACTGGTTTGAAATGTTACTGGTATTATATTTGCAATCCAGACATTCTTGGATCAGTTTGAGAATACTAGTTCTTTTCATTAGTACCACATTATTTAATTACATCTTTGTAATTATATCTTTGTAAAACATTTGTAGGGCAACTTCTGTCATTACTTTTCTACTAAAAAGATTTCCTGTCTGTGAGGGACATGTTAAATGACACCATGAAGATACAGTCAGAAAGTCCAGACAGTATAAAATTCTGCAGCCCAAATAAAACTTCTGTTCATATTTTGTACTGTTTATGTATTAATTTCAGGAGAATTGCTGATTTTATAATATTGTGTCCTGGTCCATTTACTCAAGCATTTTTTCTGTGAGGTTTTATGGCTTTCTTCATGTTTATCCTTTTTAATTTACTCCTGCCATAACATGGTTTTTTATATCTATTGAGAATGTTGCCTTGCTGCCTTCATAGACTTTAGTTATTCTTATACTGACTGTTTTGTGTTTTAAAATTGGCCCTTTATATCTGGATATAAAATAGCTTCCCAGGAGCGTAATTGGGAAAACTTAATGGACTAGGCCAGTATATTTTAGTATTTTTTAGTTTGTAGTGGATATTGCAGGATTTCCCAATCTCAGCATTATTTTTAACATCCTCAATGAATACAATCTTTGTTATGGGGAGCTGTCCTGTGCACTGTAGAATATTTAGCTATATTCCTGGCCCCTACCCATCAGGTGACCAACTTGTCCTGATTTACCTAGGACTGTCCCAGTTTTGCAACTGATAGTCCCATATCTCAGGAACCCCCTTGGTTCCTGGTAAACAAGACCATTTATTCACACTGTCTACTTACTACATCACATTAGTGTACTCTCCTAACCCATTTTAACAATCGAATATGCCTCCAGACACTAACAAATTTCCCTGGGGAGCAAAATTTCCTTCTACCTTAGGAACCATTACCCTATAGTTAAGCAGAAAATCTCATATTTTCTCATTACCAGGAATATAACTACACTGAAACAAATTTAGGTTTATTTAGCATGATCAGCAGACCTACTCCTGTAACAGTCAGAATGCTTTATGTACAAATAATTCCTCATTTGTATACCACTCTTAAGTTCCTACTTTTTGTACTAATGTAAAAATTACTACAAATGAAGTGACGATTATGATGAAATTTTCAGCAAATATTTATAGACTTTGAATTTATTTTATGTAACTTTTAGGAAAGTTTTAAACATGAAGCAAACCAGTTCTTTCCACATACTCTGTCATTCTGATCTTAGTAAGTTCAGGTTTCTATTTTATGTTTTAGAGTCACTGCATTTAGGAGCCAAACCGTTAGTAATCATACTCTTGTACTTTCTGCTTCAGGCAGAAAATGTAACTGTGACAAAGGATTTTAGAAGAGTGGAAAATGCTTATCACATGGAAGCAGAGGTAAGTACTTATCATGACAAATAATTGGAAACAGCATGACTTTGTGAGAACAATTTGCATTTATTTTTGTACTTGAAAGGTACAGGAGAAATTCTTCTCATGGTATTAATAAAAGATTATTTTTCTCAAAATCACTCTTGGTATTAGTATCTGGAGTTTTTTTGTTTACTTAGTTTTTTTAGTAATCTCTACAATCTTTAGTAATTCTTTAGTAAATCTTTAGTGAATCTTTAGTAATACAATCTTTAGTAATTCTCTACAATCTACAATCTTTAGTAATCTCTACAACCAACATGGGGCTTGAATTCAGGACCTCAAGATCAAGAGTCACATGCTCTTCCCACTGAGCCAGCCAAGCGCCCCTGTGTGAACTTTTAAAATAAATTTCAATGAGATTTATTTGAGAGAAATAATTTTGAAATGGAATAAAAATAGTAAGAAGGAAGTGGCAGTTAATTGCCACCTAATAAAATTGTAATAAAGTTATCACTTTGTAAGCAGGAAACACTATAGGAGAGAAATTTCTTCTCAGATAAAAAGCAAATTAATAAACAAGCATTAAAACACTTTTCAACATTCTTTTCTTTTGTAATGTAATTTTACTGTGTTGCGGTAAGTTAAATTTTATCTAAAAATAAAACCACTAGTGGGCTCCTTTGTGGCTCAGTTGGTAAAGCATCAGACTCTTGATTTTGCCTCAGGTTATAAACTCAGGGTCATGAGATGAGTTCCACTTTGGGCTCTGTGTTCACTAAGGAGTCTGAGATTCTCTCTCTCCCTCTCCACTATGCATGCACACTCTCTGTCTCTCTAAAATGAATAAATCTTCAAAAATAAAAACCACTTGAGGCACCTTGCTGGCTGAGTAGAGCTTTCAACTCTTGATCCTGGGGTTGTGAGTTCAAGCCTTACATTGAGTGTACAGATTACTTAAAAATAAAATCTTTAAGGGGCATCTAGGTGGCTCAGTCAGTTAAGCCTCTGACTTAGCTCAGGTCATGATCTCAGGATCCTGGGATGGAGCCCCAAGCCCATGTTGGGCTCTGTCCTCACCAGGGAGTCTACTTGTCCCTCCCCCTCTCCTCTTGTTCATCCTCTCTCTTTCTCTCTCAAATAAATAAAATCTTTAAAACTAAAGTCTTTAAAATAATTTTAAAAATAACAAAATAAAAAGCACTCAACCTTTGCCCAGATTAAGAAGAACAAAATATTTTTTATGCACTCAATGATAACATTTAGTTCCTACAACTGCCTATACTTTTTATTTATCTTTATAGATTTTTATGATCAGGATTTCATGAAATCAGAGTATGTATAGCTGTGGTTAGGTTATAGGACAGCTGTTGTTTCAGCTTCCAAACATCTTAGGATAGGTGCTAGGTCCATACTTCTTCCTGTCACAGGAAGCAAACAAGAATGGAGTTAGAGTGGACTCTTACTGATCTAGTCAGATAACCTTTATCGTTAGAGGTGGGAAATATCTCAAGAAATCATCTGCCCTTCAGGCAGATAATAGATTATTTTTCTAATATTAAGGATGTGACTTTAATCTCAAATAACTTGGGCTCAGACTTCTCAAAGACTATTATAAGAATTAGAATGGAAATTAGAATCCTGGCTTCTTACCTCTTTGAGATAGTAATTTTTACAAACATTGTTGTTCTAGTACTTAATTTAATAGTTTTGTGATTTCACCACTTAAGATTATCAATTAATTGAACTATGTCAAGGAATTTTAAAATTACTCATGATAATTTTAGGGATCCACATGACAAAACTTATTTTATAGTATTTGGGACTAAAAAGTATCTTTCAAAACAGGATGTAAAGGGTCTGAGGGAATGGACAAAATGGGTGAAGGGAAGTGTGGGGAGTGAGAGGTATAGTCTTCCAGTTATGGAATGAGTGAGTCACAGAAATGAAAGGTACAGCATAGGGCATACAGTCAATAGTATTGTAATAGTGTTGTATGGTGACAGGTGGTAGCCACACACACTTCTGGTGAGCAGAGCCCAAAGTATAGACTTGTTGGGGCACCTGGCCGGCTGGGTTGGTTGGTGGAGCATGTGACTCTCCATCTTGGTGTTGATAAGTTCTAGCCCCATATTGGGTGTAAAGATTACTTAAAATTTAAAAAAAAAAAAAAAAAGTATAGATTTGCTCAATCACTGTGTTGTATACCTGAAACTAATGTAACATGTGTGCCAACTATAGTTTTTTAAAAAGGGAGTTATTAAAAAAAGGAGTTATGAAACTTCTCAGATGTGAAAAGTTTTAATATAATTTTTAATGATTTGTATTATATACACTATGATATCATTGTCTCATATCAATTGTTTTCTTAAAATAGGTTTTCAATTTGGGGCTTTTTGGGTGATATTCACAGTAGAGATTAGATGTCCAAAAAAAAAAAAATCACAACAGAGGGAAGAACAGAGTAGTAAGATTCCATATTATGGAGATCAAAAGCCGGGAGTTACTCTGGAACTCTGCCAGTAGTTACTGCCTGTCAGGATTTCAGGCTATAGTGAATGTTCATTGGCTCAGAGTATCTTAAGTAAATTGGGTTTATTGTGAGGGTAACACCAGGAAGTAAGGACTAAAAAGAATGGCCCCAGCAAATACACAGACAGGTTTCATGGAAAACTGGCATGTTTTTCAGATTGAGTTGTTTTAGGGACTCCCTGTGCAGTTACAGAAAATGCATTAGAGCTGCTTGTTTTGCTATAAGAACATGACTAAATGAGGACTTGGCTAAACACTGCTCATCTTCCTTCTGCTATTTTTATTTCTTTAACGTCATGTACTCAATTTCTTCAGAAAATCTGATTATATTTTATATAGGGTTCCTTGATAGCCAGAATTCTTATATCCTGCCATCTGCAGTCAGTGGAGACCAGGGGTCACAAGGTACAAAATAATGTCTAACATACCAATATTCTCATGGGCAGTTAAATATATAAAGTAAGATCAGATGGTAGAACATTACATAATAACTAAAATTTTCATCCTGAAAGGAACTTCAGAGATTTTTTATCTAAACTCCCACCTACCCTGCTGCTTCTCTTTAAAATTAAAAGAAAGTTAGAAATTATGTAAGTGCATGAATATAAAAAGTTTATTCCATTTTCAGACATCTAATCAATACAAAATGTTGTAACATTAAGCCAGAATTGACTTACTAGTATTCCTCCATTATGCACCTCTCCAAGAACAAAAGACTAAATTTGTTCCTTCAGATAGATACTTGAGGTTCAGTAGCCTGTTGATGCTACTTTTTTCTTCTCCAGGAGTAAGACTCCCCAGTTTCTTTAGTCATTTCTTATAGTAAGACAAACTATTGAGCTAACCTATTTCCATCTAAAGCACCTGCAGCTATAGTGTCCTAATTGTGATTTAGCCAATTGGTAGTAGAGAAAGATGATTATCTCCTTTATCCTGGAATGTTTAAGACTGAACTTATACTCGCATCACACTGTTACCTTCTTTTGAGCTCACAGTCCTAATTAGTAATTACAATTAACTGAACTTTCTCACCTGCTGCTTTTAAGTCATATTTCTCCTATTTTATACTTTGTTATTGCTATTTCAAAATGAAATGTGTTTAAATTTACCTCTGTAAAATTTTATCCACTAGATTTGACCTGTATTTCCAGCCTGTTAGGATCTTTTTGGATCTTGATTTTATCAAGCAGGGTTTACAGTCCATCCTGCCAACGTTCTCTCACCTGCTGATCTGCTCATCTGTGTACCCATCTGTGTAATGAATAAAAATATTAGGTAGCATTAATCAACTATGACACTAACCAACAATGTTGCCATGAAGACTATATGTCAGTATATCTTAAGATTTATTTAAATAAGTAAAATATAAATACTTTATTGCTATAGTATTTCTCTGATAACTTTCCAGCTAGGAAGTCAAGTTTAGTACATGATGACTTGTTCTTAATCTAAAATCTACATCCTCAAAAGATTAGCCTTTGGATAGAAATAATTTGGCAGTAGTTCAGAAGATAGAGTTTAGAAGAGAAGCACTGAGTTGGTGAACTTCGCTCTCAGGAATAAAAGCAAAGTTAAAAGTCAGATTTGTTTTCGACTTAATATCTCATAAGAAACTCAATATTTAGAGAACCTTATAAGATTTATAGTCTTTAGTTCCTGTGTTCTTATTTTGTTGTTCCAGTGCCTTGTTGAAGGACCATTAAAATGAGAAAGATTTGTATTCTTTTCTTCAGAGACAGGACTAAGAAAGCAGTGGAGATTTAAAGAGGGAAGATAAGAACAGATTGTGGCAAAATGACAAAAGAAAATATGCAAAGTATTTGAGGCCTGTGGCAATAGAACAAAATGATATAACCAATGATAGAACAAAGGGCCTTATCTTCTTTCCTTCTCACAGAAACCTTTTTTCTTTCTTTTCTAATTTCTTACAAACTAATTTTTAAAATAAACTGTTCTAGAATTCTGCTTAGAATTGAAAAGCATCTACCCTACTACATGCAGTTTGTTCAGTGTTATCTGCTGAACTTTTTTTGGAAATTAGAACTCAAAGTATTTTTAAAGAGGCCTTTGGCCTGTTTTTTTTATGGTAATTGAGAGTAGCAATAATTCAGAAGTCTCGTTTGCAGAAATTTTTAATAAACAGGTTTTACTTATCTAAAAGGAGACAATTCATTGAAAGCACTTAAAATCTCCTATTTTCGGGGTATCTGGCTGGCAGAGTCAGCAGAGCATGCAGCCCTTGATCTTGGGATCATGAATTCGAGCTCCATGTTAGGGGGCAGAATTTACTTAAAAAAACGGGAAAAAAACCCACCACCTATTTTGGAGTTCAGTTTCTTTTTTAGTACTAAAATTTCTAAACTAATGATTCTTCTTGACCAAAGAGATGGGAAGCATTTATGTCTCAATCTGTTTTGTAATTTAATATAGCTAGTACAAGATATATATAAAATCTATATATGTGTATAATTTATAATCACATTATTTTACCCTGATGAAACATTAGAGGATTTTGAATATATGAATTTATCTTGATTTTTTTCATCTGCAATGTATGAGATAGATTAAAAGTTATTTATCCTGAATACCTCTTTTTAAATAATGTGATGCAACACCTCTATTCTTTAGTAAAGTGACTCTGCCTCATTAACTTGGATTTCTACCTAGCTGTGTATTGATTATACACCACATTGCTGAATTTAAAAGAAGTTCAGGGCATTGGAAGGCTTAAAACCGTTCTTAAACTTTTAGAAAAAGCAGAATACAGGTTTTTTTCTACCTAATTTACTTCTTGCTAATCATTTAACCCACACATTCCTAAACTATAGTTTGTCCGTGCTTTGGGACAAAGACAAAGAGCTGATAGTCTGTTCACCAGTGTAGATGTAGCTCTAAAAGCTCATCTGCTAACTTTGTAAGTCATCATAGTGATAAGAAGGATGCAGGGCAGAGAAAATCGTGTCTGGGCAACTCTGAAGCTGATCTCAACAGATCGCTTTTCCTGTTATTTCTAGACATAGAGCAGGTAAGTACCACATGTTAAACCTGATTCTGTGGGACTAGATTTGCCTCAGATAATTAGGGGTGGTAGAGAATTGAAAAAGAAAGAACTACTATCTTTTCTGCAAACTGCTTAGGAATTTTCACTGCCCTTCCTTCCATATACTACTACTTTTTTTTTTTTTAAGATTTTATTTATTTATTTGACAGAGAGAGATCACAAGTAGGCAGAAGCAGGCAGAGAGAGAGGGAGAAGCAGGCTCCCCGCTGAGCAGAGAGCCTGATGTGGGGCTCGATCCCAGGAACCTGGGATCATGACCTGAGCTGAAGGAAGAGGCTTTAACCCACTGAGCCACTCAGTGGGTTAAAGCCCCCTTTTCTTCTTTTTTTTTTAATAGCAAAGAATACCAAGGATGCATACAAAAGATTCAGCATGTATCATAGCAAAGCGGGTATATATTTATAAACACTATTTTCATTTTAAGCTGTCAAGAGTAGAAATTGGAATTTTTTTTTTAAATAAAATTTATTTCAGGGCCCTGTGTCGCAATCAGTAAGTGTCCGACTCTTAGTTTCCACTCAGGTCATTATCTCAGGTTCTTGAGATCAAACCCTGCATCAGATTCTGAGCTCAACAGGGAGTCTGCTAAAGTTTCTGGCTCCCTATCCTGCTCCTCCCCCACATTTGTACACTCTCTCACTCTAAAATAAATCTTAAAAAAAAAATAAAGGGGTGCCTGGGTGGCTCAGTGGGTTAAGCCTCTGCCTTCAGCTCAGGTCATGATCTCATGGTCCTGGGATCGAGCCCCGCATCGGGGCCCTCTGCTCAGTGGGGAGCCTGCTTCCTCCTCTCTCTCTGCCTGCCTGTCTGCCTACTTGTGCTCTCTGTCAAATAAATAAATAAAATATTTTAAAAAATAATAATAATAAAAAATTTTTAAAAATAAAGTTTAATTCAAGGGCACTTAGGTAGCAAAGAATTGCTTTTGTTGATACTTGGAACCTGTTATGCTCAATCACTTTAATCTGCATGCAAATAGAAACCCTTTGAACTCTCAAAAACTCTCAAATTTAGTTACCTTCCAGCTCCACAGAGGCACTGTAAATCTTGCTATATTTCATAACATGTAATGAAATGTATATACAGTGCCTCTGTGACACTCTTACAGATTAAATATAGCAACAAGAGACAGAGGATTTTTTCCATACACTATGCAAATGCAGAAAAGTATTATATTGTCTTTTTTTTTTTTTTTCAGGGAGAGTGAGCACACAGGCGGTGAGGAAGGACAGAGGGAGAGAGAGAATCTTAATCTCACAACCCTGATATCATGACCTGAGCCAAAATCAAGTCACTTGCTTAACCAACTGAGCTACCCAGACATCCCTTTATTTTTCATTCCTTTTTAAAGATTATTTGAGAGCGAGAGAGAGAGAGCACAAGTAGCAGAGGAGGCAGAGGGAGATAATCTTCAAGCAGACTCTCTACTGAGCATGGAGCTGGCAAGGGGCTCAATCTCACAACCCTGAAATCATGACCTAAGCCGAAGAGCCACCCAGAAGCCCCCTGTATTTATTATTAAAGGTAGCCTATGGGCATTTTGGGACTTTGATTTTTCAACCAGGAAGGAGAGGCAAATTTTTTAACTATTCAGAGGTTAAAAACTAGCAACCTGGATGAGGCTGGGGATATTGATTTTTGACTAACAGATTGATATTTTGACTGATACCATACAGTAGTTTAAAACAAACAAACAAACAAAAATACTTATAAGACTTCTCTTAAAAAGACAGACAAGACTTCTGCTTCTGGCTGAGATAGAATAACATGGACCAGATTTACCTTCCCACCTGAAACCAAAAAATGTACAAAGTATGTGAAAGAGTGCTTTTCGAGTGATTATAAGGAAGTGAAACACAGTGATCCCGGAGAAAAAAGAAAAAGTCCTACCGTGTTGGGTGTGCTTGGGTGGCTCAGTCACTTAAGAATCTGCCTTTGGGGGCGCCTGGGTGGCTCAGTGGGTTAAAGCCTCTGCCTTCGGCTCAGGTCATGATCTCAGGGTTCTGGGATCGAGCCCTCCATCGGGCTCTCTGCTCGGCAGGGAGCCTGCTTCCCTCACTTTCTCTGCCTGCCTCTCTGCCTACTTATGATCTCTGTCAAATAAATAAATAAAACCTTTAAAAAAAAAAAAAAAAGAATCTGCCTTTGGCTTAGGTCATGATCCTAGGATCCAGCCCCATGCAGTGTGCAGTGTTGGTCTTCCTGCTCAGGTGAGAGCCTGCTTCCCGCTCTCCCTCTGTCCCTCCCCCAACTCGTTCTCTCTCTCAAATAAATAAAATCTGGGGGGGGGGGGGAGTCCTATCGTGTCCATATTGCTGTGTTAAGAGTGTCCAGGCAGCTTCAGAGGGAAAGGAAACCACACAGAGCCTGGCAAACTCCTTGTATTGAGGAAGTGGAATTGAGAGCCCAAACAAGACGGCTAGAGTTTGTAGGAGAGTCGAGGGCTACACAAAGAGAGGTCTTCAGAGAACTAGAGGGGACACCTCCCCCATTCCCTCAAGTATTCAGCAGAATACCCATTAGCACATACATGTGCAGAAATGACCTGAGGCTAGAAAAAAAATCACCCAAAAAATTAGAGGAAACAGTGTTTGGGGTTCATATAAGGCTGGGGTACACCAGCCAGACTAGAAAATCTTGATTCATAGGGCATAAGGTGGAGTATAGACACTTCTCTATACTCATTAGGGGGTAATAATTAGCGCCAGATTGAACATTAATCCCACGTAACAAGTTTTTTGTTTGTTTTTTTAATTTCTTTGAGAGCAAGCAAGCAAGAGAGGGAGCTAAGATGGGCTGGGGGGTAGGGGCAGAGGCAGAGGGAGAAGCAGACTCCCCACTGAGCAGGGAGCCTGATGCGGGGCTCCATCCCAGGACTCTGGAATCATGACCCCAGCCGAAGGCAGAGGTCCAACCAACTGAGTCAGTAAATCTTAAAAGCAAACCTAAAGCGATCAGTATTTATAGAAATACAAGAATATCCAATACCTCCCATAAAGTTAATTTACAAAGATTACCTTGCATGCAAAATAGCATGGAAATAAAGCTCACAATAAGGAAAAAAGAATCAAACCCATCCAGAACCAATGTAGATATTAGAATTAACAGACAAGATCATTAGTTATTACAGCTGAATTTCATATGTTGAAAAGTTGAGACACTACTTTAAAAAAATTTAATAAAGTGTAATAATTTAGTTGTAAGGGTCAAGTAGGCTTATCTGTCACATATTATAAAATGACCTCATTATTCTCTGGCTTTACTTTTTTTACTCATATTTAGAGAAAATTTTGAAAGAATGCATCAACCATGAAAATAATTTCAAGTGTCATTTCATTTACAGGTCTGCATTACATTTACTGAATTTGGAAAAATGCAAAATATTTGTAACTTTCTTATTGAAAAGTTAGATAGCTCTGTTGTCATCAGCCAACCCCAGTTCTATCATACTCCAAGTTCTGTTGAGAATCTTCGGTAAGTTAAGTACATCTTTAACTAAATTACCAATTAAAACTATTCAGTGTTAAGAGTTCATTGAATGTCATATTAATAATGTCTGCATTTAATTCCTAAGACGAAAAGCCTGTCTTGTTGCTGTTGAGAACGCACGGCGCAAAGCTCAAGAAGTCTGTAACGTTGTTGGCCAAACTCTAGGAAAACCTTTATTAATCAAAGAAGAAGAAACAAAAGAATGGGAAGGCCAGATAGATGATCTCCAGTCATCCAGACTCTCAGGTTCATTAACCATACAACAAAAAATCAAAAGTGCAACAATACATGCTGCTTCAAAAGTATTTATAACTTTTGAAGTAAAGGGCAAAGAGAAGAAAAGAAAAAACCTCTGAAATTCCAACTAAAATATATTGTTTGTATCATTTTATTTTTATACTTTTTATGTTTGCTTTGTCCTAAAAATATATATTGTATATTCTATAAAGTAGTTCTCCCCAAAATCTGTCAGTCCTTGAATATAGTTCCACAAATACCTAGGTTTACTTTCTATTTTTAAAAACTTACTATGGGGGGACTCCTGGGTGGCTCAATTGGTTAAGCCACTGCCTTCCACTCAGGTCATGGTCCCAGGGTCCAGGAATTGAGTCCCGCATCCGGCTCCTTGCTCAGCAGGGAACCTGCTTCTCTCTGCCTCTGTCTGCCACTCTGCCTGCTTGTGCTCGCTCGCTCACTCTCTCTTGGTCTCTCTCTGACAAATAAATCTTAAAAAAAAAATTATGGCAAATACTCTGAAAATAAATATGTTATATGTGCACAATTATATACTGACAATATAAGTCATGTATAAGAAATTTTTATATTTCTACTACAGGAATAAATATTGGCAGTCTTAATGACAAGGAATACATAACTTTTGATAAAAGGGTAGTGAGGTATACTAGGAAAATATTTTGATGCCAGGAATAAAATATATAAACCAGATCCTCTTCACCGGGCTCCTTTGATTATACCAGCACTTTCCAATACAAATAAATGCAAGCCACATATGTAATTTAAAATTACCTAGGAGACATATATTTAAAAAAGTAAAATATAAAAAATAAAAAAGCAGTTGAAACTAAGTTTAGTATTTTATTTAATCTAAGGTGTCCAAAATATTATCATTTCAGTATGTAATCAATAATTTTAAAATAATGTACAGTTTATATCATAACATCTTAATTCATATACTAAATTTTCGTCAGAAATACCTGATCTGTATTTATTTCCTAAAATGTAGTTGAAAAACTAGATTCATACATGCAAGTTCCAAACAAGATTAAAAGAGCTAGTAACTCTACCTCAAGTAGCAATTTTCAAATTAAATTTTTTAAAAATTTAAAATTCAGTTCCTTTATTGTACTAGACACCATTTTAAGTACTTGAAGTGGTTTAATGGCTACTGTGTTGCACAGTGTAGGGTTCTACACTTGAGATAATACCTTCAGGCTGTTTGAGATGTAGCAGCAAGTACCTGGCATTCCTATTGCATGGCACATTATCTGCTAGTGATCATCAACCAGAACTGTTACGCAGCACAGGTTTCCCATTCCCCACCACAGAGGTATGGGCCCTAGGGTTTTTCCTCTGACCTATCTCCATCCTCCTATACCAATATTACTTTCCTACCACACGCTCCAGTCTGTAGTTTATATCCCTGCCCACTTCCTTAAGTGGCAACGAAATAGTTTAATCCATCTCCTCTGTAGGGTCCATGGCAGGAGGGAAAGTGAAAGCTAAGAAGAAAAGCTTTAGGATCCGACACCCTGTGTTCAAATTCAGACTTTACAACTTTTTACTAAAAGAGTGTAAGCTCCTTTAGAATGAAGATCTTGTCTTGTTCATAGCTGCATTCTCAAACCTGACGTAGTGTCAGGGCCAACAAAGAGTAGGCTCTCAAATCTCTTCTGAGCAAATTTACGAGATGTGTAAACTTAGCAAGCAAGGCACTTTGATCTCTTTAAGCTTCCCTTGCCTCACCAACAAAATGAGGCTAAATACCTACCTTGCAGTATTACTATAAGGATTAAAGTTGATAAATACAAGACCATGAGAATAATGCCTACCATACCACAGCTGTCTGTCAATAAATAGTAGCCATTATAGCAACCACATTCTTTGATTACTGTCAACCCAACTAAACTAAAAGTTGGCTCTTCCAAGTCTTCCATTAAGATGGATTTTTAAATAGTTATATTAAAGACATTATCACAAAATCAGTTTAAGATATATTTTTTATTTCCAAAAAAAGAGATAAAGTCTATTTTAGCTTTGATTTATCCAGTTGGGGAGAAAAGTATATTGGGGCTGAACATCAAGGAAACAAATATTTATACTCAAAAATTTAATTACATGGGTAGATTTTTCTTAGCTGTAGATTCATTATATTTTGGTTTCATCATATTTGGTAAAGAGAGTTCTCAGCTTAGCATGAAATACCTAAAAATAAATGCTAAGTTACCAAACACTTTTTAGAATTTACAGGAATTTTTTAAAGATGGTGCTTCCAAAAAAAAAAAAAAAAAAGCCTATAAATTGGGCAGTCCTGCAATTCTGTAGAGTGACTAAGAGAAAAAAAAATCCTTCAAGGACTGGACTGGATTATGTGTAACATCCCAACTTCTCAAGATGAAGGGTATCAAATTTAGTTGTCAATTGGTGGCAGTTTAATTTTTGACACATGGCATATAATTCAGTCTCAAAATGACTCAGAGGACATGTACCACAAAGGCTGCTGGAATAAGCCTATTCCAAACCTAACCCTGACAAAATTTCTTTCTTCTGAACCCCTCCTTTTTAAAAAATCTTTTCAGAAAGCAGCAAATTATAATTGCTGTTTTCTGGGAAAAAAAAAAATTCCCATTAGGATATCTGAAACAGATCCACTATACTCTAAGCACCTTTGTAAAAGGAAATACTATTAAGTAAATATTCTTAATATTACTGATAAAATTTAGGATTCTATTCCATTACATGGCAAAGGTTACATTTTTTTTATAGTAGCAATTTACCTTTAAGTATCAGTATTCTTACTTGACAGTTAATTTTAGTTCAGCATAAATTAATAAGACCTGGAAAAATAGTTTGTAACTTTAAGATGCTGTACTTTATATCCCATAATTATTGTTATGTCCTCAGGAATGTAGGTCGAGGATATCCTAATTCCATTTGACTTGTTGATGAGAACTTGATAGCAAGGAATTCTTCTCTCTGGCCTAGAAATATAAAAACATGAATTATGAGGTGAAATATGGGAGTTAATATATTATTATCTACATTACAAAATTGAATGGGAGGCAAATGCTTTCCAACTCAGTCCCAAAAGAACCCCACTATATAGTTTAACTAAAATAATATTTAGTATTTTTTATGTACATTGTATTTATAGCCAGACAGCTTCTACCCATAATCTAATGTGGCCTAAATTACTTTAACATGTTCAGTTTTGTTTGAATTCACAGTGACTAATCCAAATCAAACACTGTTCTAAGGATAAGGTAATAGATATTTTTCAAGAGGAATGATTTGTGCTGTTTCATTAAAAGAATACTACCCTTTTCCAACCTGTTTATCAGGGGGATATTTCTGTTTCAGCAACTCTTCTGGAGCTCTGGCTTCAAGATCCCAACCAACAATTACCCTCAGTTAGCTACCTTCCTTGTAAATGATCACCAGTCCCACCTCATAATAGTTTCCACCCTATCTTAGTTTCCACACTAAGGGATGAAAAGCCCAGGTGTCAGGAGAAAGTGCTAATCTAAATGATCCTAAAACCACTTAGTGATCCCTAAAAAAAAAAAAGAAAAAAAAAAATCCTCCAAACACCATGTTACTTACCATCTGGGGAGGGAGGGGGCGTATGTGTATGTCTATTTTTTTAAATATAAAGATTCTATCACTTAGCCTCTGCTTCCTTTATGCAAACAATTTTGGGCAAAGAGTTAAAAAACAGATTAATAGTTCAATAGTTCATACATACATCAGCTTTACACTGATCACATTAATTACATACTAATTATGTTTCATTTGTCTCTACACAAGACTGAACTCCTCAGGAGCAAGGCTCTATCGTCTATTTCTTTTCCCAGTATCTCTCGCTAATAAAAGGCTAAGAGGAGGAAAAACTGGCTATCAGATATTTCACTTTATTCCCTATCAGAGGGATAGCATTTATAGCAGACTACTTGAATGTTGGTACACACAGAAGTAGGGAAGAAAAATGCAAAGCACTAATCTGATGTTCCAAAATGTTTGCATATTTTATCGCTAAATGGTTATATTTTTATTTCTCCAAAGCTTAGCATTCTCAGAAAAGAAGTCTATGGCTATGCAACAACAAATATTTTGTTGTCTAGTCTCTTAAATTATTTCAGAGCCTATATTCATTTTAAGCTTTCCGATCAGGGCTGCCTGGGTGGCTCAGTGGGTTAAGCCTCTGCCTTCAGCTTGCGTCATGATCTCAGGGTCCTGGGATCGAGCCCCGCATCGGGCTCTCTGCTCAGTGGGGAGCCTGCTTCCCCCTCTCTCTCTGCCAACTCGTGATCTCTCCCTCTCTGTCAAATAAATAAAATCTTAAAAAAAAATTTTTTTTTAATCTTTTTCAGATCAGCTCTAAGTGTGTATCTCTGCCCTTCACCCCAGCACAACAGAGTCTTTGTCACTCCTGCCACACATTCCTCACAGCTGCACATAACACAGTGCTCAGGGAAAGTTGCGTTTGAAATTCTGACTAACCACTATAAAACTGCATCTAATAAATTAATGTAGAACTTTTAATAAAGAGATGCCTAAATTGAATGTTTCCATTAGCATTAATTTTATTTCCAAAGCTATTTTAGGAAATCATATTTGTACCTGGTAGCAATAATGCATTTGTAACTCAAAAAGTTTTTATGCTTTTACCGTTTATTGATCAGTCATATTAATTGTAATTCCATTTAAAAAGAATTAGTACAATGATTCAAATATATCAACTCTAGCCCAAGTAAGAAAATAACATCAAAAGAAAATTTTTCTTAGTTTATGCTAAATGAATCATGGAAAATCTAAGATACTATATTCTCTATTGGAGTGGAGGTAAGGTATAATTAACTCAATGTTGAGTGTCAACCAAATACAAAATTATTTTTAATATATCAAATGTTTTCACTAGTTCAGAATCATGTAAGCATAGATTTCTTTTTCATCATCATTGTACCTATTTCTAAAATGATAAAAATGCAGGGATTATAAACTGATATGTCTCTGCAAAGAAACCAATATGAATATGCAGCAGAAACCTTTAAAAAATGTATTTGCAAACCACAGAGGTCATCATGTATCTGAGGAATGACTATACTGGATTCACTCTGTAGGAATGAAATTTCACAGTATTCCAAATGTTACTACTCTTAAACATTACATTCATTTAAAATACTCCGTTTTTTAGTACTTCATTTGAATAATAGAGAATTAGCTAATATTAAATTCAACACATTAGAAATGTTTTATGAAGGGGCACCTGGGTGGCTCAGTCAGTTAAGCATCTGCCTTCGGCTCAAGTCATGATCCCAGGGTCCTGGGATC